AGATTTCATGCAGGATGGACATGGCTCTGGTTACCAGAGGAAATACTGATGCCACATCTTGCCCAAGACATCACTTTAGGGAAGAGCTGGGCATTCACGGTTATTCAACAGGAAAGGACGGCAAGGACACTTTGTCCCAGTGGCACACCTGGAGTAACTGAGGCCAGCTGTTACTTCATGGATCTCTGTTAGTCATGAACACACATGAAAGAGAGTGGCTGTAGGAAATTGGAATGCATTTTTATTGCTGGTTAGTAGAAAAAGTGGCACTACTGAAAAGCACGTGGTCAGAGAGCTGATGTGCACACAGTACCAGTGGACGTGAACGCTAGGGGGGATCACCAGCCTCTTCTGCTTCTTACAGCACTTTAGGGGTAAATCTCATGACCTGAGGGAAAAGGTAAAACGCAGGCCCACGTGACGACAGGCACATTCCTTCTAATTATACTCACTGCTTCTGTTTCTTTGCAGTGCTACTAGATATTGATGCACTGCATGACTAAAATGCACACGTGTATGTGGTGGGTTGATAAAACTTAGTGGGTAATTCAGAAGATACAAGGAAGATACAGTGAAATCCAAATTCAGAAACGCACAGCGTGATGTCACGTGGTCATTAGTACCAGACAGAAACTGAGTGTAAAGGGGCCAAGAGACACTGCTGGGGGAGAAAGGAAGAGGGCAGCCAAGGAGAAGCCTTTTCTGTGCACTAGGACAGCGGGAATAAGGAGTGTGAGTTTACAAAGGGCAGAGGTGCTCTGTGTGGAGGGAAGTGAAGCCTTGGAATTTGCTCTTGGCAGGGTGAGAAGCCATGGTCCTAGTTGTGACTCTGGATCTCACATGGGCTGCTGTGGGTGTGGGAGAGCTGAGAGGAGTGGTGCATGGAGCAGAGCCCTCCCCAGAAAATAAGAGCCGCTGGAGTTTGCACTGGCTTTAAAAAAAAAAAGACTGTGCACCCTGGAACCCCTAAAGTCCAAGACCTGGGAGCCGCAGCACAGCTGGCTTCCCATGAGGCATAGTACAGCATCCTGTGAATAATTCTCTCTGTTCTCCCTTGTACAGTAAGCACTGCATGCTGAGTTCATAACAAATCTACGGATGAGACAAACAAATGTGAGGCTCAGAAAAACTTAGTGTGATAGTCCAACCTAACAAGTCTGGCCATCTAGGTTCCAGAAATCCAACCTTAGTGTAATTGCTTAAAATTGTAGGATTTAAGAGACACTTGGGATAATTTCTAAGTTTTCTTCTTGGATAAAAATTTAAATTCCCATGGTAAAATATTTCAGCTGTTTTTTTCAAGAAGTGCATTTGCAATATAAACATAAACACAGAGACTTTTAAGTTAACGAACTGCATGGGACCCTCATCTTGAAGATGACTGTTTGCACTGACAGTTTATACCACACAAGCTAGAATCTAAGTTTTCATAAAACTGGATTGATAGCAGTCACTATAGCTCTTTCATTTTCTATTTGGGAATGGTCACTCTGTCTGACAATGTAGGTAATAAATCACTGACTGCAAGATCCTCTGAATTTGGGCTGGAGGCATTCAGTGTCTGGGATGCTGGAGTGACAGCTGAGGGTCTGATTCCATCGATGCCCAGCACATTTCTTCTTTATGTGTGGGACGTTGTTTAATGCACCAGGAATACACAAAGCATAACTGTCTTGCTTATATTATAATTTGAGAATATTGCTTCTGTGACTAAAATCCAATTAAGATTAATGTCTCTTTTGACTTTCTTAGAACACATTGTTGAAACTTACAGATTTTATAAATAACCCTCACCTGGAAGAATCTGATCACATAAGTGTAGCAAGTGCAGGGTATGGAATGTAGTTTGTCTAAGTTACTATTAATCCATAGACACCTTTAAAAAGTACTATGATAATGATCCATGATCAATATGAAATTGTTCAAGCTTCACTGATTTCAATTCAAAGGACAGCACAGATTGGACCTTCAGTAAGGTCAGTTGTCTTTGTCCATTCCACATTGACAGATTAGATATTACCAGGTCTCATAGAAACCCACCATCTTAACCAAAGAGAAAAACCTGCAGAGCACACACTGCAGCCTTCTAAAAGTTTCCTGTAATTCCTGGTACATTCTAAATTTATGTTTAGTTTTTCAATTTGTTGTGAGATTCTTTATTCTCTGTGCAGCAGAAAGGACTCCCTTACAAGGAGAAAACTGTGTCTCCAAGAAACACTGTTAACTAAAGTGGCCCAAAGCCCTCAGGTCAGTAACAGCATCTGGACTCACCTGGTATGAAATTCTCCAGTAAGTGCTTTGAGAGAGGGAGGAGATTTGTAAGATCTCTGTGCCTTGCTCACAGTCTCTTGAAGTTCTTTACAATTGTACAGCACAGAACTGCACCCCTGTATTTGGCCAAGCTGTGCAAGAAGATTGTGCCTTGTGTCAGCTCACCTTGCACCAAAATTCATCTCTGCCGCCTGGAGAAGCACGTTTTACCTATGGGTCACTAGAAGGAACTTCTCAAGTACCAGCTGGGGTACCTGCTCCTCCCTGACCCTGTCTGTCAGAACTCTCCTAGCGATGAAACCAAAAGGCAACCTTACCCTCCCTGGGGATTACCGCACACAGATGTCTTAATTAAAGCATCTTTCACTGTCATATGGTTCAAGGGAAAAGTGAGTAAGACTTTTCACACTACATTCCCTCATTGATGCAAATCAAAAGAAGTTGGTGTATTTTATATGCTCAATCTTATGTCATCAAGCCTTAGATATCCTTCCTTTTTCTCTAATTTGATCCCCAATGCACAGATCCAAAGGGACCAAATCTTGGTCACTTCATTTGACTTCACTAATTTGGACATAGTACAATTCTAGTTTAGAGAAAATCAACCAATCAACCAAAATAATTCTTCATTTACCAGTTAACCAGAATTAGCCTAAGTAGGGATTCTTTTAATTTTACAAGACAAGAGTCTATCAGTGTTACTAGGTAATTTTTAGAAATCTCAATTGTTAAATTAAAAACCTAAGGACTAGTGAAACTTGGATATTACTTATGCATGTTCCATGAATTACATCATAATGAGTATAAGGACAACTTCTCTATTGTTTACCAAATTTCCAAGGAAAATTATTGGGGGGCTGTGTTTAACATACATACATTACAGGACAACAAACTCTTCATACACTTTTTCAATTGACCTCTCCCAAGTTATTCAGTTAGCAATTCTACTGAAGGTCACAGTTTACTGAAATGAGTTCTTTCAAGGAGAAGATTCTAGCCTGCCAGATACACCTCTGATATCCCCATCAATCTGAAATTTTACTAAGATATTATTTGGTTACCAAGTTTTATAAATTCACAAATTTGAGAGATACTTTACAGGAGCAGTTATGCCAAATGTTTACAACATGTCAGTTGGAATTACTGAATTTGCTAACCATAAGATCTCTAATGCTCCCCTTGATGCACAGACTGGTAAGTCACAGAAGTGTCATTTTGGGGTTATTTTGGATGCTTACTTGTGACTTGTAGTCTTTTGTCATAGGAAGAAGTGACAGAATATTAAATTTTATTCAATGCAGCTAAGTTATCATTGGTAGATGATACAGTAAAAATTAACAAATCAACTCTTGCTTTAAAGCTCTTAACATGCTATAGACACACACATTTTTCATTATTTGCTTTTTACAGTACCTTCTGTTTTCCCCCTGGCAGAGGATCAAATCTCCCTAATCTCCCTGCAAAATGCCAACTCCACTCAGTGCCAACCTCATTTCATCACCCCTCCCCTGTGGGATGTACACTGAGCCTGCAGCAAGACTCTGGACGCTTCCATGGTGTCAAACTGAAAAGGTAGGAGCACAGCTCTGCAAAAGGCAACACTGATACTGAACATTGAAGGAGGAGCATTTGTAGGGGATCAGACAGCCACCCAAATTGTTCAGTACTATGTCATTTAATTATTCTAGAAAAATTACAAAGCAAGTTGTATTATTACTGTATTATTACTGTGCACAGTTTAGAGAAGAGACATGAAATATATCTATAAAAATTATTCAAAAACATGAAACAGGTAAGGAATGAAAACAAGAGAAAAAAAACAAGACCATACAACAAAAATAATTCAACCTTTCAAAATTGAGATTGGTTTATAGCCTATCAAACCTTTGAAATCTAGTTTAGAATACTATAAAAATTCACAAGGTATAGATCCTCAAAGTATAATAAACTAGGATTTGCAGGATTTCTGATATTTACCAAAGTTGGAGAATCACAAACTTAAGGGTCTTAAACACCAACACTTCGCCCGTCTTCCTCATGCAGGTTACATACAGATACATTACTCAAAGCATTTACTTTGCAGGAATTCATATAAAATATACATGTTAGTAGATAAAAAGGCTATGTCTACAATGAAATATAATGCAAGAAAATATTTGTATATATTGAGCATAGTCATCACCATTCTGAGATGCTCAATAAATAAAACATGTTTTTATAACTATCAAACAATCTAAAAAGACATATATTTTCTTTCTTAAAATTCTGCCACTTTTGTTGAGCTTAGTGATCACCGCTTAGCAGAATTACAGTTTCTGCCTTTCACTATTCACTGTGCTTACTGTGCTTGATAGTGTCCCACCCTAGCACTTTGTCCTCCACAGAGTTTAGTCTTAGCAAAACCAGGGAAATGGATTATTTCTTTATTTTTCTTCAGCCTAAGATGACACTTAGATCTGTGTTCCCATGCCAAAAGTTCATCTTTAAAGTGGTGTTGCTCCAGAGATGGTGGTTTTTAGTTGCAAGGAGCTTTCAGTAGTCATGGAGGAAAACATGCACATTGTTTGATGAGAAAGAAGCAATAATTAAATATTAGGGAACAGAACATGTACATACTATGTCACACCACAGGAATTTGAAGTATTTCAGAATAAATACATTTTAAGGCCTGAGTATTAAATATTTTTCAATTAGATTCCTTGCCAAATATACTGAAACAGAAATTTTGCCTATATTTTCACAGAGCAGATTCCCCGAGTCACTTGTTCCAGGGCCCCCATCACCTCCTTCTTCCTCTGGCTGTAGCTCACAGGATTGAACATTGGTGTAAAATGGTGTAGAAGATAGTCAGGGCCTTGTTCTCTGCTGGGATCTGAGGGGCTTTGGGTGTAGATAGACGGTGCACAGTAGAAAGTCCCCACGATGAGGTGGATGCTGCAGGTGGAATAGGCCTTCTTCCTGCTTTCCCGAGAGTGCACGTGATAGTCAGCAAGGAGAACTTTCCCACAGGAAAACATGATGACAGTGAAGGGCAACAGGAGAAAGAGGATGACACCCAGGAACATGGTATATTCATCAGCCCTGGTGTTCATGCAGACCAGAATCAGCATGGCTGGGCCATCACAGAAGAAATGATTGAAGGCCATGGACCTGCAGTAAGGAACAGGGGATGTATCCTGCGTAAGCACAGGCATTGATACCACCTAGTGCCCAGGATCACAGGATCATCAAAGTGTTCATTTTTCTGTTCATGAGGATTCGGTAGTGCAGAGGAAAACAAAAAGCTACATAACAGTCATAGGCCATACTCATCAAGAGGATTCCTTCTGTACCTGCTAAAGTCAGGAAATAAAAAAGCTCTGAAACCCACACCCAATGAGGGAGATGTACTTGTTTCCAGATAGAAAGTCAGAAGCCATTTTGGGGACAGTGGTGCAGATTACATGAGGTCCACTAGGAAGAGCTGACTGAGCAGGGTGTACATGAGAGTGTGGAGGTGGGCATCCAGGAGGATGAGCAGAACCATGGCCAAGTTGCCAGCCAGGGCCATTAGGAAGATGGGGACGATGACAATGAAGAGGACAAAGCCAGACCTTGATGGGGGGAACAGGCTCAGGAGGATGAAGTCAGTGGAGGTCTGAGTATAATTTTCCATCTGGCATTTGTTTAGTTTATTTCTAAGTGTCTTTGCAATGGTAAGTTTCATAAAAAATAAAAAGATACTTTAATTTATTATTTTATTCATATTGCCTTATTCAACTATTACAGCTCTTTAATACAGAACAAACTATTTTGTAAAATGATCCTCAGTTTCTGCCTTGCACATTTATCTGAGCTTGGCACACATACATGTACAAAATGTGTAATAAGAATTCATGAATTTACGAAAATGCTATATACTTATATATCTGTACTCAAACTCACATATTGTATTTATTTCCAAAACCAATTGCAATCAAGATGAGATCTTACACTGTAAGTGTATGTTTATAATTCAGTAAAAATACCAAGTTACTGACCCAGATTTTTAAAAGTTTTATTACTCCAAAAATGAGTTTTCTTCTGGAAGCCTGATTATTTCATAACTATTTTGCATTTTCAAAAGATTATCTGCTTTTGCTTTGCTAGAAACACATTTAAAAAGTTGTGAAGACAGACTTTTGAAAGGAAGTAAATCTCAGAAGAGAAACAAAACAAAACAAAACCTGAGAACCCGCTCACCAATTTTTAAATACCCTCTGATCACTTCCTTTTTTCGCATCTTCTGCAAGGTCCATCAGAGCTGTATCCTTGTGAAGACGATTTCAATAATCGCATATCATAGAGAAGCCACAGAAACCTAAAACCACACCATCATTCCCTGGAGCCCCTGGAACTGACTGGCTCCCAAACAGAGTGTTTTCATGGCACCTTGGGGACCCCTCACTGAAAGCTGTGATTTTACAATTTCATCGACACTATTACCAAAATCAGCATAGCTACTATCACATTATTTTCATCTTTATACTTCTCTTCCCTGTATTTTAATGAACATTATTGCCTAATTTGTGTACATTTTTATTTAATAGGCAAAAATTGTCAACAATGTCTAACATGGTCGTCAGTTTCATTTAAATGAATATTTAAATGACTGCATCATGCATAAAATAACTATTCACCTGTTAACTATGTGAAGCATTATATTTAGCCATAGCTTGAAATGGATGTGTAATTGAAAGAACCACTATTCCTATGAATATCTAAATTACTTTCAACAAATTATCTATAAGCATAGAAAACATACTATTGAATCACATAATGATAGTACTACTTTAATTGAAACATAGCATATATTCTTTGGAAGTCCTGTAATGTTTACAATGCTTAAGTTTTATTGGTCTTGTTCTCTACTGTTTTGTCCAACTTTATAATATCTAATGAGATAGACAATTCTTTTTAAGGAAACAAGAGACAATGTTGATAACCATTGTTGATAACCTTGTACTCTGTTCTACACCATGTGCTATGTCTATCCTTGGTTTTGACTGACAGCTTTGTTTTGCCATATTTGATTGTATTCTCTCCCCCCCAAAAAAGTAATAAGAACTAAGGAGTAATAAAATCCAAAATGTGTAAATTTTGTTGTAAAAAAGAGAGGGGAAAAAAAAAGAGCTCTAACGGATATAACAGCAAGTGTGTTTAGGGGTGTTAAATAGCTGACTATATCAATGTTTTTGGATCATTGAACACAGCTGTTTGCAGTCTCCCTGTTTGAATGTCCACTTTGTATTCTTTGATACTGTGATTTGAACAACTATTTTCAAGATGATAATATGTAATCTATTAACAGCTAATTTCTTACTGTTATTTTATTTATTTATTTATTTATTTTGGAGTTCTGTATTACGTGTACCCTTACACCGCTTTGTTTTGTTTTGTGTTTTTCTCTTTTTCCTCTTAAATAAAAAAAATAAAAATAAAAAAAGAAAAAAAAAGAAACATAGCATATTGAAATATGCTATGCAGTGAGTTTAAAAGATAGCTCTTTTTAAAAATTTAGTGTAAAAGTTTTTTACATATTATTGTATACAATTTAGATGAAAACTATTTTATAATGAAAAGATTCATGTAAATTTGATAGATAAAAAACGTTAAACATTCTTTTAGCTCCATGACGTTGTACCATTTGAAAAGAAAAATATCTGAGTGACATAAAAAAGCATATTTTCCCCTACAGTCAGTGAGAAATTTGACTCCTAAATGATGGATTCTTCTCTTCATTTCACAGGAATGCGGCCAAATTCCATTGTCATCTGCCTCAACCCAGTGTTGTAAACATCCTCTCCTTCCCATGGATACAAGCAACTTATGTGTAAATTAATATTCAAAGGAGAGCTGTTAAATTGCAGCCGTTGCCTTTAAGGTCGATTTGGAAATTCTCTCTTCTTGTATAGATTATGACACTCACTTCCTTATATAATTAGATTAATATGGCATGATTTCAATTTAGACAGCAATCCATATGAGCAAAAGAGAAAATTCCAGGGAATCAACATTTAATAGGATACATTCTATATCTGCATGAAAATATTCCTACTTCTAAAAATATAATTCCTGTTATCTAGTTCATGTTACATATAGCAGAATTCTCATTTCTAAATTTCCCTAATATTTCATTCATTTTTTATTCATTCTTGCTTAGAGTGCATGAGGTTTACTTTCATCTCAGGGAGTGGGTCCATGCAATGAGCATGTCTTGATTCTAGATCTAAATGTGACACCACCGCTCTTCCTGAGGATTCAGTGTTTATTCTTCAAATATGATGTCCTCTGTTAATTTCTTGAATCCTTAAAAAAAGTAACATTATTTATTGACTAATATCAATTGAGATTACATAATTTTAATACATATTTTACAAAACATTTCGCTTATCTTTTTAAAAGTAACAATAATTTCAAGAAGAGGAGCACTGAATGTTTATGTCAATATTATTATAAATCCAAGAAATTAATTTGTGGGTAACATCAGTCATTGTGTGTATTTTCAGTTTCATTTTGAATTCACTTTACATGTCAGGAATCATGCACAACCTTTGCAGAATTTATGAGATTGTTTTTTAGTACAAAGTACATGCATGTTTTAAAAATACAAGTGGTTAAGGGTCACATTTATTTCATCTATTTTTAGAGAAAAATGATAAACAATCTATCATTCTTTTGTCTATCCATCTATAATTTGAACTCATATTATTAAAATTGTCTTCTAAGTTTTGCATATGAAATTTCTGAATTTATAAATTTCTTACTCAAGTATTTTATCAGTTGAAGTTTGTAATTATATCTAACATAATCATTTTAAGTACTTTCTCAGGAGTATGAACTTCATGTAATGACTCTTTTGAAAAATACATTTTGAAATACACTTATCTCCTTTCACTAGATTGGATGGCTGACCATAATCTCATGAGCATCACATGGCCAAAGCCATTTTTTCTGCTGATCCTTACCTGATGTTTTCCAGGCAGCCCACTCGCTCAGCTCTTATCCCTGTGCTACTCAACAGTGATGCCACTGGAAACACTTGGAGATTTCATAAATCCAGGCCATCTTGTCATGCAGATGGTTTGCTGTCTTTGTATGTATTTGCTTGGGAAAGTCTACAGGAACCTGTGGCACAGAGGCCATGTCTACAGCACATAGGATGGCCCTGGGCCAAGGCTGGGGAAGGAGCTCTGCCAAGTTTAAAATAATGTTCTTAAGTTTTTTAAGGGTCAACTCAATGGGAAAAACACATTGCTTTATTGGAACTTCTGACATTTCAACATTTCACTCTCTGTATTATTTATTTCAAAAAATAGTCTCATGACCATAATTCCTATCACAAAAGAGTATTTTAAGTTTTAATATGGATAAAAAGGACTGTTACTTTTTTGTTACTTTAACCTTTTATCAATTTTTTAACTTTTCAAAGAACATTCTTTTTTTATTGTTTCATCAGTCATTTGTATTGATTTTACTTTTATTATATTAAATTCAGCTCTGACATTTATTATTTCTAGTCTTCTACTTGATTGCAGTTTGAATTCTTCTGATTTTATTACTTTGAAATGTACCACTAGGTTGCTTATTTAGTATGCTGATTTTGTGACTTGTGTACTCATATCAATAAGTACCTTCTTGTCACTCTCAAAATTTTCCAAAACCGGTAAGGAGTTTTATTTCTAGTTTTGTTTGACTTTATGCATTTTTTGTCTTTCCTTTGATGCCTTAAAAATATATGGCTAATTCAAACATGTACTGTTGAAACTCCAAAGTATTACTCTATTTATCTTAACTTCTGTTAATATTGATGTTACTATTCTTTTACTATATGAAACACAATTAATTTTATTATCCCTTTGTAGTTCCTAAACAACATCCTAAAACACAATTTTAGAGTATTTGGAGGTGGTTTCATGAGTATTTCTTGTTGAAAATAAAATTCTGAAGATACCTCTTAAGTACAACTGAGTTATACTGTTGTTTAATTACCCTGTGTTTTGTTAACTTGCTTTTTTTTTTTTTTTTGGCCTAGATGATTCATGCATTAGTGATAACAGAGTATTGAATTTAATCATAACTGCTATATTGGAGATTATCTTTTCTTTATGTGTATTGGTGTTTGTTTTACACATTTGAAATTATCAAATTCCTTTGAATATATTCTTATGATCATGACAGATTTTGGTTGGATGGTTCCATAAAAAGAGATAGTATTTTTATGTTCTTATTAAATTTGGCTTGAACTATGTTTTATCTGATATGAATGTGAGTAATCTGACTTGCTTTCAGAGTTTATTTGCATAGAATACTATTTTCCATCATTTCATTTTCAGTATGTCTGAATACATGATTGTGATGAGTTTCTTGTAGGAAATATACATTTGACTCCTTTTTTGATCCGAGTTGTCATTATGTCTTTTAATCAAAACTTAAGGGTTTTTATGAATACAGTCATAGTGGAAAAGTATGTCTAGATGCCTGTCACTTTTTACAATTTAAGAGTATTTTTGTTTTTTATTCTTCTAATCATATTTCTTCTTTCCTATGTCCTTTTGCTTGTGTTTATAATCCCCTTTGAGAATAGTGTTCCTTTTAGTACTTCATGTATATTTGAGTAGTCATGAATTCCTTTCAATTTTGCTTGTCATGGAAGGTCTTTATTTCTCTTTTAATTCTGAAACACTCATTTCTAGGAAGTAGTAATCAAAATTGTCAATGACTTTTATATTATTATTAAAATATGGCAGTCCTCTTTCTCTTGACATTTAGAGCTTCTGCTAAGAAATTTGCTATTTCTGCTAAGTTTACTATTGTTTTCCAATTTACATTTCTTTCCTGAAATTTTCTTTTTTCTTTTTTTTTTTTTTTTTTGGTCTTTTTTTTTTTATTTAAGAGGAAAAAGAGAAAAACACAAAACAAAACAAAGCAGTGTAAGGTTACACATAATACAGAACTACAAAAAAAAAACATAACAGTAAGAAATCACCTGTTAATAGATTACATAATATCATCTTGGAAATAGTTGCTCAAATCACAGTATCAAAGAATACAAAGTAGACATTCAAACGGAGAGACTGCAATAATCTTGGTTTCTCCAGTAGAATATTCAATGGGCAATTTCTCTGGTTATCTTTCCTTTGAGTTTCATAATGAATATATACCTCAATTCTGAGATTTTAGAAAGTTTCAGATAGCATTTCAATAAATAGCTTTCATATGTCATTATGCAGCACATCTGCTTCTTACCAATAACTTAAAATTGTCTCATGTTTGTTTATTTTTAAACAATGTAGCAGAATCTTATAGTCCTTTTTTCTGTAGTATTGTGTTCAAGCACTGATATTCTTTCTTCCTCTTAATCTAGTGGTGAGACTTTCTTTTTTTTTGATACTTTATGATTTATTTTGAAAAAACTGTATGAATAGTACAACAAAAAAAACAATGTATAGAAAAAGATTATTTCAAAACATGATCCTCTAAAACCAAACTCAAAACTATGGTTACACTGCAGACTAGGCAGATTATTACAGTTTTAAAAAAAAATTTATTTAAGGAGAAAAAAGAAAAAAAAAACAGAAAAAGTGTACAAGTTATACAGAATTTCAGAAAAAATAAACAGTTGGAAATCACTAGCTAATTACATATTGTCATCTTAGAAATAGTTGTTGAAGTTACAAAACTAAAGCATATAGAGGGGACTTTCAAACAGTGAGACTGCAAAAAGTTTTGTTCAATGATCCAACAAAACTCAGTAATATGGTTATCTATCTTATAACTTAAATATATATGCAGTTATATCTTTAGAGAACTTTCTTTTCCTTTCTTTTGTATAATGACAATTACACATTTTGGGTTTTATTACTCCCACAGTTCTTACTATTTTTTTTTTTTTTTTGAAGAAAGTAAAACCAAATATGACATACCAGGACAGAGTCAGTCAAATCAAAAGGATGGACATAATACATAATGTAAAAACAAAATACAAGATGATCAACAATGGTTACCATAATGCCTCTTGTTATCTTAAAAAGAATTGCCTATATCATCAGTTATAATAAAATTGAACAAAACAGTAAATAATAAGACCAATAAAACCAAAACATTGGAGACATTAGAGGACTTCAAAAGAAGATAATAGTCAACCAGAATGGGCGTCACAATGAATCTTATTGTCTTCATAGTTGTTGCTTATACTTTCAAACTTGGTACTATGGGACTGTGTGGATCAAAAGTTGCAAGGCAACCTAAGAATGGAGTTTGCAAGATGGTTGGATGTGCCCTTCTTAGGAAGACAAGGAGTTTTCTCTCAGTATCCTGCTGCTGGTTTTCCAAATCTAGTAAATTTTTGGCTATCTGTTCCTTCAGATTCATGTCCCTATAGGAAAAAATGGTGGGAATTGAGGTCCATCATGCTAAGTGCCATCTTTTCTTATATTAGTTATGTGATAGAAAGTGTGTGTGTGTGTGAGAGAGAGAGAGAGACAGAGAGAGAGACAGAGAGAAACAGAGAGAGAGACAGAGAGAGACACAGAGAGAGAGACACAGAGAGAGAGAGAGGAGAGAGAGAGAGGGAGAGAGAGAGAGAGAGAGAGAGAGAGAGAGAGAGAGAGAGAGAGAGACAAACAACAGAGAAAGTAGTGCATTTGCTGTGTGGAAGAAGACCAGAGGAAGAAAAAGGAGACGAGTATTAGGGGAAAAGTAATAAAAACATTCTGTGCATGTACTAATATTCCAAAGTGAGTTTCATTATTACATTTTGTTAATATGACATAATACCCTAAACTTAGGCAAAATACAGCAATTGCCAAGAACAATGGGAGCAGTGAATGGGACATAAATGCTAACACCTGTGAGTTCTCAGAATAATAAAACTATAAATAGATTCATGTTAATGTTCTCACAAGGACATGAATATATTTAACACCACTGAATTGTAAACATTAAATATTGCATTTTTGATCCATGAATTTTACTAAAAATAAAAGTAGTGAAACTATTCTACTAGCCACAAAATATTTTGTAGTTGCCTGAGGAATGCAATCCATTGTAACCAATGGTCATGTCATTTAGTCATAAAATCTAGATTTAGTAAGAAGATGAAATTAAAACACAAAATACTATTAAATTAAAGGTTGGATTGCAAGATAGAAAAATCAAGGCAATTGCTGCAAAGGGGTAATGACTATTTTCATTCCTGGAGGAACAGAGGCTTTAGATATTCAGATTATAATCATGTGATAACACTAGAAAAATAAATGTTTTATCAAAGCATATCCCCCTTCCAGAACAATAAGACCTGGACAGATTTAGAAACCAGAAATACTGAAGAATCATCTTTAACCAGGCGGTGTGGCACATTCCTGTAATTTCAGAAGGCTGAGGCAAGAGGAATTCAAGTTCAAGGTTAGCTGGATCCTATTTCAAAATAAAAAGTTAAAGGGCAGAGAGGGTAGCTTCAAGGTACAGCCCCATGGGAGTGGCTTTCATCTCTAGCACCTAAAAGAGCAGGGCAGAGAGAGGGAGAGGGAGGATTTTAAAAGTTAATTAATAACAAATAATTTTATTCAAATCTTTATTTAGAAAACAAGATTATCAATTCTACGTACTGATAGCTCTCTAATTTCTCAGGCAGATTCTCTACTGTAAGAATGAAAGATAAATAAAAATAAACATGATAACAAGGGTGATTGTGGTGCCAAATGGAAGAGATGTTTTATCCAACCTCATTAAAAATCTACACTTACCATAAAGGTGAAAGAGAGAACTTGATAGGAGCCATTTCATACAGAATCTTAATTGAAAGAAGTACCCACACTGATTCCCCACTTATAAATGTCTAGGAATTAAGTAGAGAAGGATTAAGGTAAAAATATCCCATACAAATTTTGAACATCATAAAAACTGATTGATCCATGAACAGAGAGACACACGTGTTCAAAGACTGTACCAACTGGGACCCTTATTCACATATGAGACACGGCTTTCAGATGTATTCCTGGCTGGAAATGCAGCATCTCAGAATCAACCAGCACTCAAGGCTGAGGACTGAGGAAACAACTGACATTGGTAGAGGTGGGCACAGCCCACCAACTGTCAGCTCCTCTCAGCTAGAGGGTAATGTGTATTGCATGTATTTTGTGTGTGTGTGTGTGTGTGTAGTGTTAACTCCTAAGTTTGAAAAAACAAGAGCAGAAATAAGGAAAGCAAGCTTGGGGTAAAACAGGGGAATCCAGTCTCCTTGATGTCTAGAATGGACTTTCAAGGGATTACTACAAAATCATAGGATCTTTCCTCCCCACAGCGGTTCCCTAAGCTCCATGGAGACCTCCCTGTTCCTCAGGCTGTAGATGAGCATGTTCATCATGGGCAGGAGGATGGCATAGAAGGCTGACACAATCTTGTCCAGCTTGGGGGCATGCAAGGAGGCTGGTCTCATGTACATTAACATAGCTCCCCTTAGTAGAGCCCAACCACTAACAGGTGCAAGGAGCAGGTGGCAAAGGCTTTTTAATTTTTTTTTTTTTAAACTAAGATAAAAGAGGACACAACAACACAGGGCAGAACAGAACAATTTAGGCAACATAGTGTTTCACCACAAGACAATCCGACATAATAGTAGCTACCATAGTGTCTGTTTCCTTGAAATTTTTGAATATACCTTCATATACTACAGTATCAAACATAAAAAGACAGTGTAAAACAATTCAAGAGAATGAAAGTATTACAGGATATTCAGAACCAACTAATAGAAAATGAACAATGGTTACTATATTATCTTCTTGTATATAAAAATTTTTGTTTATACTATCACATATAATAAAATATAATGAGATATAACACAATAAAACTGATGGAGACAGAAGAACATAAGCTTGGTGGGACTTCAAAACAAGACAATATTAAATAATCACTAGATATTATAATGTCTTGTTTTCTTCAAAATAGCTGTTCATACCATCACAGACAATAAAATCAAACAACCCAGAATAAAACCATTCCACTTAATGAATAAAAACATTATAATGATTCAAAGCAATATAATGGGGAATTATGATTACCACATACTTTTATGTATTCTTACTATTTCTTACACTGGGGAAACTATTCGGTATTTATACATGTGAATATGATTTATTTTGCTTACGAGTATGGTCTCAAGCTGTGTCCATTTATTTATAAATATCTCAATGTGATCATTCTTTTTTTATTTAAAGAAAGGGAAACAAAAAATACATGGAGATAAAAAAGGGTAGAAATGATACAAAATTACAGAAAAATAAACGGTAAGAAATTTCTAATTGATAAGTTACAAATTGTCATCTTCAAATAGCTGTTCAGGTTACAAAATTAAAGTATTTAAAATTACATTCAAAAAGTGACACTGCAAACAGTTCTGCTCAATTATCGAACAAAAGCTCTGTAATATGGTTATCAGTCCTACATACTTGTTTTATATTTCAAAGAGAGTAAGATTAAACATATCAAAACATAACAAAACAGTTAAAAAAACAATTTAAAGAAATACAGATTTCAAAGCAAGTCCACTGGAGATCTTCACTGTTTGTCTAATTGTCTCTAGTTTCTTACAAATAGTTGTTCCTATTTTCATGCATATTAAATACATATTGCATATTATAGAACTAATCAAATCATTACAGGATGATGAAGTCTTTTTTAGATCTTCAAGATCTAACATTGGGGAAGACAATAATAATTATCATCACATCTCTCATTCTCTTCGTAGTAGCTGTCCTTATCTTTACATATGCTGAAATTGAACTTAAGAGACTAGACTAATATCATTCTGATCAGTGAATAATAGTATTGCTAGAATTTACATCATAATGCTACAAAATTAACATTGGGTTTCTTAGTGTCTCTTCTTCAGAGTATCTGTTCATTACATCTTGCATTATATAATCTGTTCCCGTAAATAATTTTTTAAAAAAAATCTCATGTGTGAATTTCTACATATATATCTATGCTCTCTGTATTATAGGGAAAAACAAATCATAACAAGATAGCAAAACAAATTCCTAGAAAAACATGCAATGGATAAGACATATAAGACCACAATATCTTCCGTAGTTACTATGTTTTCTCTTGTTATTTTCAATAGATTTGTCCACATCATCTGCTTAATATAGTTAAACATAGTATTATCTATTTTTATAAAAACACAACTTTGAAAGCATTGTAGGATTTGAGAGCTGTTAATAATTAATACCAGTATGGATATCTTTTACCTCTTGTCATCTTCAGAGTAGTTGCCTCTACTTTTAGGGTTGATACTAACAAGCATACCAAATTCAAATAAAATCAGCCAAGGCAAAACTGTGGTCTTATGAATCGGATTCAATTAAGATCAGTCATAGTAAGACAATGTAAGTAACACAGTATTTCAGTTTAAGTTAATAGGAAAGTAAGAATAGTTACCATGGTATAACCTGCTATTTTTGGGTTAGATGTCTGTGCCCTCAAATCTGACATGAGTGGACAGACCAGAACAAAGTATATTCAAACTAAACATGGTGATAAGACTACTGTGTCTTTTAAATCCTGATACACTATTAACTATGACCTCTGCCTTTTTTATAGTGTTTCAGAGCTATCTATACTAAAGACTATAGCTTACTGTCTTTGCCTCATGTCTGCTACTGCACTTTTCTGCTATAATTTGTCCACCTTATTCCCTCATTCCACTGTTTGCCCCGTTCATTGAGGCCTCTCTGCCACTGTTGCTGGAATCCTCGTATCCCTTCCTCTCTTTCTCTGGAATGTCCTTCAGCACTCTCTGTAGTGTTGGATTGGTGGCCACGAACTCCCACAGTTCCTCCTTGTCTTGGAAGCATCTTATTTCTCCATTACGTTTGAGAGAGAGTTTTGATGGATATATGAGTCTTGGTTGCATATTATTTTCTTTCAGGACTTGGAATATTTCTCCCCATTCCCTTCTTGATTTAAGAGTTTGTGTTGATAAGTCTGTTGTTATTTTGATAATTTTCCCATTGTAGGTAATCTGCTTCTTTTCTCTGGCTGCTTTTAATATTATGTTCTTTTGGTGGATTTCTAGAGTCTTGATAATTATATGTCTAGGTGTAGATCTGTTTTGGTTGTAGGTAGCTGGTGTTCTGTATGCCTCTTTTATCTGGGTATCATTTCTTTTTGGTATACATGGGAAATTTTGCTTTAATATATCTGTGAATATTCCTTGTATTTCATTTTTGGTTGCTCCTGCTTCCTCACTCACATGCTTTATTCTTACATTATGCATTCTTTTGTCATCTTCTAGCCTTTGAATTGTTTCTTTCTGGTTCCTTGTTATTTTTAAGAGATTTTTTTCTTTCATAATCATATGTCATAAATCTCTCTTCAAGTTTCAAAAGGCTGGCTTTAGTTTCTGTCAAGACATTTTGCCAGTGTTCAATGGAGTTTTTAGTTTCCTGGTAATCTCTTTAGATCTGTTTCATGTAGTCTAAGTTATGTTTAAATTCTTCTCCAGAAATTTCTCTTTCTTTTCTGATTTCCTCAGTTCTTCCATCTGTGTTCTCTTGGGCGGGGCTTGTCATTTCTTTAATTAATCTCTTTATATCTTGCCTCACTTGGATCAGGAGTACAGTTTTAAATTCATCTATGTGGTCATGGAGGTATTTTTTAATTTCGGCTATGCTGTGTCCAGTATTGGATGGTTACTGTGCTGGTTCTCTTCAGTGTTTACTTCTCTTGGGCTTATTTTCTCACGTTGGGCAGCTGGAGATTTTTTTTTAAATTTTTATCTCTTGTCATGTTTCTGGTTTCTTTCAGACTGGAGGGTCCTGGGGGTCTCTGGCCCTCTCCGTATTGCTTATGGCCTTTCAGAAGCATTCTGACTTGAGTTTTTGCTCTCTTTCCCAATTTGCTGTTATTTGGGGTAGGCAGGGGTGCAAGAACAGTGCAGGCTAGCCTCCAGCCTCTGTGCCAATCAATCCGTAAATTAGGCTGTCACTTTCTGGATGTTTATTTTGTATCTGCTTATTGGGCCCCAAGCAGAGGCTTGGGTTAGCCCCAGCATATCCTGCCAGTTCTCTCTGTGCCAGAAGCAGCTGACTAATGTCACCATGGCACAGGGTTCTGCCCAAATCCCAGCTGTCCTCTTTCAGACCTCTCTGTGCCAGGAGCACCAGGACAGCGGGTCTGCCTAATTTCAAGATATCCTCCACCAGACCTCTCTACGCCAGGGGCGACTGTCTGATGTCACCGAGATACAGGTTCTGCCCAACTCTATGATGTCTTCCACCAGACTCTTCATGTTATTGATGTCACCGTGGTTGTGGGCTTTGCCCAATTCCAAGATGTCCTCTGGCCAACCACAGTAGCCATGGGTCCCAGTTCCTAGTACTCACCAGGGCTCAGGGCAGGTCTTACTCTTGAGTGTACCACACACTACACCACTTGCCTTCACTGTGTTCCCGGCACAGCATGGAATGGTCAGAAAACTGCACGGTGTTTGGCTTCAGAGCTCCAGAGCTTTTCACAATACCCTCTGGTGCAGCAGGGCAGTCCTGGCTGCTTTGTGGAGTCCCGGGTCTCAATGTGATCATTCTTTATAGCTGATTACTACTCAATTGTATAAAAATACCACATCTTTTTTTATCCATTCTTTAACTTGATGGACATTTAGGTTGTTTCCATGATCTGGCAATTACAAAATGTGCTGTTATAAACATGGGTGCACCTATATCACTGTGGTATGATGTTTTCAGTTCTTCTAGGAATATGTCTAGAAGTGGAATAGCTGGAACAAATGGGACTTCCAATCCCAGCTTTCTGAGAAATCTCTGGACTGACCTCCACAATGGTTGCACCAGTCTACACTGCCTCCAACAGTGCAGGAGAGTTCCTTTTTCCCCACAGCCTTTCCAGCATTTGTTGTTGGTAATTTTTTTGATCCTGGCCATTCTTTCTGCTGTGAGATGGAATCTCAATGTGGTTTTAATTTCCATTTCTCTAATGAGTAATGATGATGGACATTTTTTCATGAATTTATTTGCCATTTGTATTTCTTCATCTGAGAATTGTGCATTCATCTCAGATGCCCACGTTTGGATTGTATCCTTGAATTTAGGGGGTCTGATTTTTTTTTAAAAAATTCTTTATATGTTTTAGACAGACATCATTTGTCTGAGGGATAGTTGAGTAAGATTTTTTCCCAGTTTGTAGGTTTTCTTTTCACTATGCTAGAGATTTCTTTTGACTTGCAGAAAAATTTTAATAAGACATGATCCCAGTTGTTGATTCTAAGAAGCATTTCCCATGTGATTTGATTCCTGTTCATAAATTCTCTACCTACCACTATGTCTTCAAGATTTTTACCCAACTCGTCTTCCAATAGATTTAGTGTTTCTGTTTTAATATTCAGATCTTTGATCCATTTAGATTTTGATCCATTTAGATGCCATCTAGTGATAGGCATGAGTCTAGTCTTATTTTTCAGCATATGGAGAGCCAGTTTTCCAGCACCATTTATTAAAGAGACTGTCATTCTTCCAGTGAACATGTTTGGTCCCTTTATCAAAGATAAGGTGGTTGAGTGTGTTTGTAGTTGTGGTTGTATCTTCTAATCTATTCCACTGATCTCTAGCTCTGTTTCTATTCCAGTACCATGTTGATTTTACCACAGTTGCTTTGTAGTATAACTTCAAGTCAGGGATTATGATGCCTCCTGCCTTGCCTTTGCGGCTTAGAACTGTTTTTGCTATTCTAGGACTCTTCTGGTTCCATATGAATTTTAGGAGTGATTTCTCTAGATCTATGTGGTATGTTGATGGTATTTTTTATTGGGATTGCATTGAATCTGTATAACAGTTTTGTGAGAATAGCCATTTTCACAATATTTACTTTTTCTTTTCATGAGCAAGGGATATCTTTCTATTTTCTGAGATCCTCTTCAATTACTTTTCTCAGTGTATTATAATTTTACTTATATAGATCTTTCACTTCTTTCCTGAGACTAATTCCTAAATATTACATTTTTTTCATTGCTAGTGTGAAGGGTATGGCTTCTCTTATTTATCTCTGTGATTTTGTTGTTAATGTATAGAAATGCTATTGATTTTTGAGTATTGATATTGTATCCAGCTACATTGCTGAATTTATTTATTATATCTAGGAGCCTTTCAATGAAGTTTTGGGAGTTTTCTATGTAGAGTATCATGTCATCTACAAATAAGCATAATTCAACTTCTTTTCTTCCTATCATTAACCCTTTAATTTTTTTCTCTTGTCTAATTGCTCTGCCTAGTATTTCCATTACTATATTAAATAGGAGTGGTGATAAGGGACATCCATGTCTTGTGCTGATTTGAAGGTAAAAGCCTTCAGTTTTTGGACATTTAGTATGATACTAGCTGTTGGTTTGTCATAGATGGCCTTTATCATATTGAGGTAAATACCATCTATTCCAATTTTCTGTAAGGTTCTTATGATGAGTGAGTGCTGGACCTTACCAAAAAGCTTTTTCTACATCTAAAGAAATGATCATGTGATTCTTACTTTTGCTTTTATTGATATGGTGGATTACATTTATTGATTTATGTATGTTGAACCATCCCTGAATGTTGAACCATTATGTATGTTGAACAATCCCACTTGGTCATGGTATGTAATCTTTTTGATAATTTGCTGCATCCTATTTTCCAATATTTTACTGAGTATTTTTGCATATGTGTTCATTAGGGAGACTGGCCTGTAGTTCTCTTTTTTAGTTGGTTCTTTCTCAGGTTTTGGTACTAGAGTAATATTTGCTTCAAGGAATGACTTAGGAAGGATTGCTCCCATTTCAAATTCATTGAAGAGTTTGAGGAGTGTCGCCAGGCATTAAGTCTTCTTTGTATTTCTTGTAGACTTCTGCAGTGAATCTGTCTCGGCTTGGGCTCTTCTTTGTAGGTAAGGACTTAATTACGTTTTCAATTTCATTAATAGAAATTGGGTTATTCAGCAGTTTTACATCTTCTTGACCTAGGTTTGGTCCTTCATATATTTTTAGGAATCTGTCAATGTCTTCTGTATTATCAAACCCATTAGAGTAGAGGTTTTCGAAATAGTATTGATGATCTTCTGTACTTCTAGAGTCTGTAGTGATTTCTCCTTTTTCCTTCCTTGTTACATGAATTTGAGCTTTTTCTTCCCTTTTTAAAATAATGTTGGCTACAAGCTTATCAATTTTAATTATTCTTTCAAAGAACCAACTGTTTGATTCATTGATTCTTTCAATTGTTTTCTTAGTCTCTATTGCATTAATTTCTGCTCTGATTTTTATAATTTCCTCCCTTCTTTTGGCTTTGGGTTTGACTTGCTCTTCTTTTTCTAGATGTTTGAGGTGTAACATCAGGTTATTTATTTGTATTCATTCTGTTTTCCTGATGTGGGAACACAGTGCAATAAAATTTCCTCTAAGGACAGTTTACATTGCATCTCACAGATTCCAGCCAGTTGTATTTGTATTTTCCTTTGCTTGTAGGTATTGTTTAATTTCTTCTTCTATTTCCCCTGTGACCCACTGATTACTCAAGAGTATGTTATTCAGTTTTCATGTGTTTGTGGGAATTTCACAATATCTGTTATCCTTAATTTCTAGTTTCATAGTGCTATGAATCTGATAACATGTATGGGATAATTTCAACTATTTCGCATTTATTTAACTATGTTCTAGTTAAAACAGTATATGGGCTAGTATATGGTGTCTTTTAGAGAATGTCCCATGTAGTTCTGAGAAGAATGCATATTCTCATGTTGTTGGATGGAATACTTTATATGTCTATCAAGTCCATTTGTTCACAGGTGTGATTCTGTTCTGTTGTTTCTTTGCTGATTTTCTGTCTGGTTAATCTGTCCCATCATGTCAATGGTGTGTTAAGGTCTCCTGTCATAATTGTGTTGTTGCTAATTTGGGTTTCCATTTCTATTAATACTTGATTTATATAAATTGGTGCTCTGGAATTAGGTGCATATATATTTAAGATTGTTATCTCTTCCTTTGAAGTTTCCCTCTAACCAGTATGTAATGACCTTTTTTATCTCTTCTGCTCATTCTTCATCTGAAGTTCACATTGTCTGCAAGCAGAATAGTACCCCTGCTTTTTGGGGGTTTCCTGTTGCATGAAATGTTGTTTTCCATCCTTTGACTTTCAGTCTGTGAGTATCCTTTTGAGTTTCTTGTAAAAGCATATGGTTGGATGTTGTTTCTTGATCCATTCTGCCAGTCTGTTTCTTTTAATTGGTGCATTGGGACCATTTACATTAATGGTTATAACTGTTACATAGTAGTTTATTGTTGGCATGTTATCTTTCTGCTGTTACATCTTTATCTTTCTGTTCTGTTTCATTGTCTGCTTTGCTTAGTCATTTTTTCCTAAGTGTATCTAAACTGTCTTTCAGTATTCTTTGCAGTGTTGGCTTGGTGATCATGAAGTTCATTAGGTGTTCTTTGTCATGGAAGTATCTTTTTTCTCCATCGATTTTAAAGGACAGTTTTGCAGGGTACATCAGTCTAGGCTGGATATCATTGTCCTTTAAGATCTGAAATACTTCACTTCATGCTCTTCTTGACTTTATTGTTTGTGCTGAGAAGTCTGCTGTGATTCTGATAGGTTTTCCTTTATAGGTGAACTGTCTTTTATCTTTGACAGCTTTTAATACTCTATTCTTATTTTTGATTTCTGGGATGGTGATTATTATATGTCTGGGGGTAGTTTTATTTTGGTTATGGCTATTTGGAGTTCTATATGGTTCACTGATCCTGATGTCAGTTTCCATTCTCTTGTTTGGGAAATTTTCAGCTATTACTTCTCTAAATATCCTGTTGACCTCCTTTGTGTTGTCTCCATTTTCATTTATCCTTATCAATCTTATGTTGTTTTTCTTTGCATCATCTTACAGTTTTTGAATTGTTATTTCTTGATTCCTTGTTATTTTTAAAAGATCTTTCCTTTCTGTTCACTTGCTGCATTCTTGTCTTCAAGGTCTGAAAATCTATCTTCATTTTCATTGAGGTGATTTTCACAAATTTCAATGGAATTTTTGATTTCCTGTATATCTCTTTGCATCTGATTCATGCATTGTTTTTTTATTATATTGTTCTCTAGCCATTCTTTTTTTTTTGTTTCATTCCTCCAATTTTTTAACTGTGTTTTCTTTCTTTCTTTCTTTCTTTCTTTCTTTTTTTTTTTTTTTTTGTCTTTTTCATTTTTATCAGTACCAGGGATCAAACTCATGACTGCCTGCTTGCAAGGCAGGCGCTCATGCCACTGAGCTAAATCCCCAGCCCCAACTGTGTTTTCTTTAGATATGTTCAGTATCTCTGTCATTTCCTTTATCATTTCTTCTTTTACCTGGGAGATTATTTCTTGTTTGAATTCCTTTCAGGCTTCCCAGAGTTGCTTCTTTATTTGAATTACTATTATTTCAGATATTTCAGGTGTATGGCATATATTTTCTTCTGTGTACATAGCTCCTAAACTTTCTTGGGAAGGGCTGGAGGCTTGAGGTTGTATTTTGGTCTTTTGTTTTGTCATTTTCCTGTATTTCTGTGTTTCAAGTGTTATTCCCAGGCCTCCCCTGGGCCTGTTGGAAAACCTCTTCTATATTCTCCACTTCTGGGACACTGGCCACCCTGTTCCCTGGATTGAGAGATGGTCACTGGGGGTGGGCCAGGCAGACTGAAGCCTTGCTGAGCTAGTTTAGTGAAGGAGGAAGCTGCAAATTTTCCTGGACGGCAGGAGCAACAATCTTAACACCCTGCCAGGGCTTGGGATAGTGCGGGGATACTCACCCCAGGCCGCCCAGTCTTCAGCGTTGAAGGTGCAAGCAGGCATGCCCAAATCCCTGGAGCTGGTGGATCACAAATCAGGCAACAAAGGCTTTGTGACGACTCTCCCCAGGGCCCATGTGGATGACGGCTTGAAGGACACAGGAGTAGGAAGTGACAATGACTGTGACAGGGAAGATGAGCATCACCACACAGCAGATGAACAGCAGCCTTTTGAATGTAGATGTATCTGTGCATGAGAGAGGTAGCAGGGCTGCCACATCACAAAAAAAGTGATGAATTCCCAGGAGAGGCAGTAGGAGAATGACAGGAAAGCTGTGAGCATGATGATGCCATTCAGAGAGCCCAAGATCCAGCAAGTAGCAGTCAGGAGCACACAGGGCTTCTGGCTCATGAGGACTGGGTACCTCAGAGGATGGCAAATGCCAGCATAGTGGTCAAAGGCCATCACAGCCAGCACAAAACACTCAGCTCCAAGTAGGGACACATGGAAGAAGATCAGGGTCCCACAGCCTGCCAAAGAGATGGCCTTCCTGTCAGACAGAAAGTTAATGGCCATCTTGGGCACAGTGGTGCAGATGAGCATGAGATCCATGCTGTAGAGCTGGTTGAGGAGGAAGTACATGGGTGTGTGCAGCAGGGTGTCCAGGTAGATGAGCAAAACCATGGCTGTGTTCCCCACACAGGCCACTGTGAAGATGGTGAGGAAGAGTGTGAAGAGGAAGTTGTGGTTGGGGCTGCGATCGAAGATTCCCAGGAAGATGAAGTCAAAGTAGAAAGTCTGGTTTCCCTATCCCATCCTAAATAAGTTGGTTTATCTGAAAGTTACAGAGAAGGTACTAGCATGTTTATTAGTTCAATTTTCAAATGTATAACTGCAGAAAGGCCTCCACTGGGCAGGGTATGCAGTGCACGTGTGAGTTTCTCTCGCCAACACTTAGTGACCCCCCCTTGATGCATCTATTAATAGAAGTTGTCCAGGGTTTTTTTATTTTTCCACTGTTTTCATTCATCCTTCACAAAGAAAATCTCCAGTAACACTTCTTTACTATCACATAAAACGCTACTAGAGCTCATAAGAGCACACTAGTTAACTCATTGGTTGAGTAAATAGAAATCTTAGGAGAAAGCTATTATATTTGTCTATATGAAATTATTTCTATCATTGGAGACTCTCTTGTTGATATTTCTTTCCATTTAGGTGGACTCCTCAATAGGATAATTCCTGTCCTTATGTTTTCTTCCTACTGCCTAACCTCAGCAAAATGAAAATACAGTGGGGCCTTACTGAATGGAAACACAGCCCCACTTAAATCCAGAGAACAGATTAATGGCATGTGTATATTGTTTTGTGAGATAGACTCTTACTGTGTAGTCAGGCCAGACTTGAGTTCACCAGACTCAAGACTTGAATGGCCCAAAGTGGCCTTAAAACTCACACCAAATCTCTTGAGTCTGCCTCCTGAGTGCTGGCATTACAGATATACATGATCACGCCTGACAAATAGCCTGTATTATAACTTTTCCAACCTGCCTAATTTTCCAACTCTTTTCTTGTCTAATTTTATGAAAATTTCTTAAATACTCATGAAAAAGTAAAGAGGGAATTAGGTTTTAAGAATAATTTCATATCTCCTTATCAGTCTTTTGTTGTTTTTTGGCACCATTTTAATATACATAATGATGACATTTATCATAGGGACTTTGTTCCTGCATGTGATACATTTTGATTCCTTTTTTCCCATTACCCTTCCTCCCTTTCCACCCTTCTTCTCATCCATATTAACAAAACATTTGTTTTCATTCTATCTTTCTTTTCTCATTGTTTTCTTTACTTCCTTTACCCTCATCCCAGTTACTTTTCTTTAAACAATTTCTTCCTGCTTCAAAATAATTTTATATATTTTATTCCTTATTTACACTTTGAGGAGGGGAAATGAGCTTTGCATTCTTTGTTTCTTAGTGTACATTTGTGTTTTTGAGAAGTTGCTTTTTCGAAATTTTATGCTACAAAACATGTTATAAACTCCTGATATAAAGATGTAGGAAACAAAAGAATGCTCATTCTGTGGTCCTTAAAGGTTTCACTTTAGTTTTGTGGAACTAGGGGCATGTCTGCCACTACAAGTGAAGTAATGAGCATACAAATCACCCTAAGCCCAGCTCAAGGACTCAGGTTGCATGATGCATTGTGTGGGAGGAAGAACAGATAGTTTCATCAGGAGCCTGGAGAAACAGGCAGCATCTGCACATGATTGCATGCTTCACTGTTGCTGCTAATCAAGGAAACACAGGAAAGGTATTGGTTGAAGTTATGGGGTGGCATAAAATGATGTCGCATGAATAAACCATCTCAGCTGTTTAATGTATGATGGAAGTGATGGGTTACCAGGAAACCATTTCAGATGGAGATGAGGGAGAAAATGCTCACACTCTGGAGGTGGACAAAGCCCAAGTAACTATGATGAAAGATGTGGAGGTTTGATTAAAAAAGAGATCACCTGTCAGTCCTTTGTAAAATGTTTCCAACTGATTTCAAAATGTCTATAAAACCTCATACTATGGAGTCATTTTCCTAATTAATTTACCCCAAAGTAAAGCTCCATTCAAAAGAAGGTACACACACACACACACACACACACACACACACACACACACACACAACATGTGTATATATAGATATAGACATAGCTATAGATATAAATATAGGTATAGATATATAGGTATAGGTATAGATCTTTTAAATTATCTTACTTCAAAGGTATCATTTTCTACTGACTTATTTTTATTTAGAAAGAAAAATTTAGAGAAAAGACAAATTAACTATACAGAAATAGAGGCAGGTGCCAAAACAGAGTTCTGAAGTGAAATCCAAAGAAGACTGAGCACTGATCCTGAGTCCTTGGAATACTAAAGAGACTGGAAGGGCAGGGGGCTCTAAATCATGAAGAGATCTGGTAAACCCAGAGCATCTGGAGAATCTCAGCCCCTGGGGTCCACCATGTGCCTGGATCTTGCAACTTGGATGAACCTGGAACTTCCATGCAGCTATCCCAGTGCATTCAACATGCTTCAGTTCTGTGTGACTCACTAAATGAACTTTCACCAAATTATTGTTTCATTTTTAAGGCATGGAGTGCCAGGGATTTTGTTCATTAGTGTATTTGATTACTCAAATGGACATAAATAAGGAAACAGATACTTTGGGGGTGAAAAATCACCTAATAATTTAAAAACAAAACCTTTGCACTAGGTCAGTTCTGCAAGTATGCTGTTTGTCTTTTAAGACAAAAGATGTTAATGTGCATATTGATTTTCTAAACCAAAACCTCACTATTTGGGCTTAATGGCAGTGTTGGCCCTTTGAGACACAGAAGTAAGTTTTTGTTTGTAGTTTAGGCACAGGTCTCTAAAAGGTTTGCCATAACAGCACAAGAGGGACTACACCATTCTTACATGTAAATCTTCACATGTGCAATTAAAGGACACGATCAGAGCTGCTCACGTGTGAGTGTTTCTGAAAGTTCCTTTGAGCTGCTAATCTACCAACCAGAAGATACTGATGTTTACCATAAGGTTTAATAATCACAGAAATACAGTGAAAGAGTCATTAAGGATATCTCATCTCCTTTTTCTATCACTCCTTTGCAGAGAGAACACAGGGTTTCAGGCAGGGGTTAAGGCAGCTCAGCATACCATCAGAACTACACCACCACGGTTTTAATAACCAGGCTAAGAAACATCTCCTGTATAACCCTACAACATGCATGTATTTTCTCATATGTATTACCTTGCATTTGTTCTCAACCGAGTCAGACTCTTGGCAAGTGGAGACCACACTTGCCATACTCACAGATGGTGGGCAGGAGTAGATCCCATGGAAACCCCAGTTCTGCTTTCCCTGGGAAGTGGCACTCCTCTCTCTGGGATGGGCTTCCTGCTGCCCAGCACTGCCCTCCTCCCCTTAGGAAGGGGACTCTGGAGCCCTGAAGCTCCCTGTGACATAGAGGCCTGCCAGTCCCAGTGTCCCAGAACCCTCTTCCTGCACAACGTGTTCTGCGTGTGACCTGGGTGACAGCACCACCCTCTTCTGAAGGCTCCTAGGAGCTCCCCTGACAGCAGCAGAACTGTTCACTCTCTTGCTTTACAGGCTGCAGCTGCAAATGAGGACTTCCTGTATTTTCTTTAAAGAAGTAGTGTGTGGGAAGCCCTTTAATTGGCTGCCACCTTATATCTGCAGGCTGTACCACCTTTATACCTGCGGGCAGTACTACCTTAACATCTGCAGGCCGTACCACTTTAACATCTGCGGGCTGTACCACTTTAACTCCCTCTAGGAGTTGTTTGGTAGTTAAGCAGCACCTTGCCTTCCTAACTTGCTTGATCTATTCAGGAATTATGTTAATCAACCTGCCTTATGAGCTCGAGCCGGAAAATTTGAATTGACCTATAACGCTCAGTCCTGCCACTAAGTTACCTGCTGACATCTCCGAACCCAAATCCCTCCTCCTCAATACCCTATATATTTGTTACTCCTTCCGTGAATAAATGAGACTTGATTGGAATTCTTCATCTTGTCTCTGCTCTCTGTGTCTCTTGTTCCTTTTCCTCTCCACTCCCCCTCTAGGGTCTCCATGGACTTACCCGCAGGCCAGGATAGTAGTGTTAATTCTGAAACACAGTATTCACCAATTAAAAAGAAAAGGTTAAGAATAAAAAAGAACACTTAATTGCAAAGTGAGCTAAATCCATCCAACTACCCTCTCCATTTTATTAATATTTTACCTCTTCCCAGGAAGCCTTATAAAACATTTAGACTGAAATAAATATGAACTGAGTTGAACTCACAGAACTCTGTGTGTGGTTCAACTCTAACAGTTCAGATGGCTGCGTAGGCTCCACATTGCCTTCTCCCATCTCTGTAAGATATCTTCTGGATTTTTCAATAAATTCAGCATGCAAACTTCAGAACAACTCTATTGCTAGATCTCTCGTCATACTGAAAGTTTTCGTGTTCCTAAAAGAACAACATTTCAGAAACACCAATGCCACTGCCACTGTTTTCATAAGAGTGTTCTGTGTCCCTTAGTAAAAGCCCTGATAAAAATCGAGTGTCTTACCTCTGCTGCAGACCTGTGACAATTGGCCTCTTTTCTTAACTCCTGATTGCTGTGGCCTCCCTTTAGAAATCAGAGCTCTGCCTTCTTCTGTACTGTGTGGCCTTTCAGGATTATCCCACTTTATTTTCCCCTTTCTTTTCTCTCTCCCTCTGATGGTCCCTCAAAACCTGTACCCAAGGATTGTCCTGGTGACTGCAGCTGGGCAGGGTGTTTGTCCTGCATATGTGGACAGACCATGCGAAACATGTTCCGAAACACACATTTTATTTAACTGCATGGGTTCTTCCCTATTCCACCTATTCCATTTAGGGGACTAATTGTGCTTCATTTTGGAGCCCTTGGCACTTTAAATATTTTGGATGCTTACAAAGTTGATTTATAAAAAGATTGTCAAAAGAAGGAGAGCATATCAAATAGTGTAAAAAAGAGGCCAGAGTAGATGATTAGCACAACTTTATGTTAAAATTGATGTAACAGTGATTAATATCACAGCTATTTTTTAAAATAAATTCATTTTATATTTGGGGAAATCTTTCATTTTCCTTTTCTGTGGAACAAAGTTAAGTAAGATTTCAATTAGACCTTCATTTAGGACACATTTTAGAGTAGTGTTTGCATTATTTTCTGATTGTATAGAGAACGTTACTTAGTCACCTATGTAGTTTGTAGTATACACAATTGACTATTCTTTCTAATGAGAAAACTGAAGAAAGACAATGTAAGTAAACTATAGATATATGGCTCTTGTAGATAGATCAAAACTTAGCTCTGAAAAGTAAGTCAAACTATTCTAGGTCATTTATGCTTGTTTATATATCTAATATAATTAAGCTATTTCTGAAATTGCTCTTTTCTCTCTGTGCACCCATGTCCTAGTTGGGTTATTACAAATAAATTCACAGTTATAATGTGACATTAATATTGTACTATCAAAGGATGGAATAATATAATAGCACATTGGTGATAATAACTTACACTGAATCTATAGTACATTTCTTTGCTAGTACATTTCTATGTTATCAGTATGTAATATGAGGAACTGTATAACTATTCACTATGCATGGAATATGAGACAATACACTCAATCCATGAAAAAAATCTATGAGAGAGAGAGAGAGAGAAAGACTTTGAAAGAGAGAGTGAAAATTCAACCTAAGAATGATGCATATTTTTCTTCTCCAAAAGTGAGAATCAAAACCAAACTGTAGCTACATGCTGGGGGGCAGGCCGTGCAGAGATCTGGGCATGCACAGTGCAGAGAGAGAGACTTGGGGATTTCCAACAGCTTTCATGATAGCAAAGTGGTCATAATTTTTCCCTGATAACATTTTATCAAAGAGTTTTCATTATTGCTAGTAGCTTTAGATACTCCAAAGTATGTGCCACTCATTGCATATTTCATGTGTGATGTAAAATAATCAAATGATGTATGAAGATGTCACATTATTGGTAATATTGCGTTCAAAGCAGGGATGAGTTCACATGACAAGTTATGAAAGGTTTATGAATAAAAATAACATGCCCCATGGTGGGAATTGACCAGCCTGGATAAAAGTACAGAAGCCTGTTTTCTCTTTTCAGTGGTTCACAAAGATTTAAGTAGCATCTCAATAAACTTTCTTTATCTTAATTGAAAAGTAACTTTTTCTCACTGGCAGGAAACCTACATGGGCACAGGATGGTTTGAAGTGTGGGCTCAGCCCATGGTTGGCTGGCTCCAAGGCAGGAACTAAACATTAGAGAAGAGCCTGCCATGGAGAAAATCTAATGGTGTCTTGGCAGCAAGAGGCAGAGAGAAAAAGGAGGAGCCAGGAAGGGTTTCACCCTTTCATGTCACAATACCAATAAAGAGCTTCTCTGACCGGGTGTCACCTGCTAGCAGAAACTTCAGCTATGGATTCAGCAAGCGTCTCCTGAAAGCCCAAACGCTGAACACATGGGTGACATTTTGAACTAAAGCATACCATTTCATCCCTGTCTACAAAAAACTCATGTCTCTTTATGCAAAATGCATTTATTCTTTCCCCAGAGCTGCCGCAGTTTTACTAGTTTCATCACTGCTGAAACTCCAAGTCCTAAGTCTCATCTGAGATTCAAGATGAAACATTAGCTATGGTACCTTGTGAAAATAAAAAATGAATGCTGAACACTGCAGGCCCATAATGGAACCTTGTAAATGCTCCTACTCCAAAAGGGGGAAACAGAGTAATGCTAAGAAAACAGGCCAAAGCAAGATCCAGACACAGAAGAGCAGACATTACTGCCTTTAGCTGCTCATCCAGTAACTGGCTGAGGTGTGGTGAGAGAAAAACTCCATAGCATTTGGGCAACCCTACCATGTTGGCTCCACTCAGTTCCTGGGCTCTCACAAACCACAAATTCATGTTTTGGGCATTTCTAATTTCCTGGTCTTTGCACTTCATTTTTGTCTTCTCTCACACAGCTTCACACTCTCCCTTCTCATGGGCACCCTGTTTGGCACTTCTGGTTTTCCTTTGGAATCTGGTGGAGACCTTGTGACCCCATAATTTTCTCCTTCTGCACTGGTACAAAGCCAATGCCACATGCATTCAAAATCTACAATAATATGAAAGTAGAAGGTACTTTTCACAAATTTATTATGAAAATATGTGTACAATGCATATGTTTAGAACTGAATGTAAAAATGAAATAGTTTTACAAATAATGTAATATGAAGCCAACCAGAGTTTATTGAACAACATATTCTCAAAGCTTGCTCCACCTTATGAAGGCTCTGCTGACCTCTCTGTTGTGCAGGTTGAAGATGAGGGGATTCAGCATGGGTGTGAGGATGGTGTAGAAGATAGACACCATCTTATCCTGGGCAGGGGACAGGCCAGATGTGGGTTCGGTATATATGAACATCACTGTTCCATAATAAATTCCCACATGAGGTGGGAGGAGCAGGTGGCAAAAACTTTGTGGTGACCCTGTCCTGTTTCCATGCCAATGACAGCCAGATTAACATGAGTATAGGAAGCAATGATGATTGCTACAGGGAAACCAATCATCACTGTGCAACAAATAAAATGAATTTCTCCAAATGTGGATGTGTCATTGCATAAGTGGTTTAGCAAGGATGATTAGTCACAGGAAAAGTGGGTTATTTCCCGAGACCCACAATAAGAGAAGGAAAATGTAGCTATAGCGTCAATGAGTCCATCAATAGAACCTAGGATCCAGGAAAAATCAATCATAAGTCTGCAAATTTTGGGTCTCATGAGATTGCTGTATCTCAAAGGATGGCAAATAGCAGCATAGTGGTCATAGGCCATCGCAGCCAGCAGAAAGCACTCAACTCCAAGCAGGGACACATAGAAGAAGATCTAAGTCCCACAGCCTGCCAGAGAGATGGACTTTCTGCCAGACAGTAAGTTAATGGCCATTTTATGCACAGTGGTACAGATGAACATGAGTTCCATGAGGGGGAGCTGCCTGGGGAGGAAGTACATGGGTGTGTGCAGCTGGGCATCCAGGTGGATGAACAGAATCATAGCCATGTTCCCCAAACAGGCCACTGTGATGGTGATGAGTACCAATGTGAAAGGAAAGGTGTGGGGGCGTGTGATTGAAGATTCCTAGAAGATAACATCAGAGTCAAAGTTCTGATTTTCTCAGGCTATGGCAAACATACTCTTCATCTAGTACCACAAAAGGTGAAATCTATTTACTGATAGTAAGCTTTTAACCATTGTCTTACAAAGGTTCTGATTCTAGAAATTTATGTGTCATTGATCAATAGAGTAAAATATGAATTAAGAGACTCAAAACTTAATAAGCACAACCTCAGAATGAAACTTTCTCTATTCAAAAGTGTCAAATGGTACTGTTGTGTATTACTGAATTTTATCACTGAAAATGTCTACAAATTCCCTCTGCACAATAGAAGACAAGTAATAATTTGTATTACTACATTTTAATGACAATTAGGTTCATTTATCAAAAAAAAAAAAACTAATCTAAACCATTCCAACCATAAAATCTCTCTTGTAGGATAAATAAAATACTCATGTTCTGTCCATAGTAAAATATCCTTGAACAACACATAGAACCTGTAAAAGACATTTTAATGTGCATTTCAAGAATTATGGAAGATTTTTCTATTATCACATATCATTCAGTGATTTAATAACCCCCAAATAGTTGCTATCTCATTCAAACATATATCTTAGTGCATCATTTTGATATAACTAGGGATTGTAGACAAAAAGGTATAGATATTTTCTTATTACACAGTTAGCACTAAAGTTGTTTTGCTAAGTTTTAATGCAAAGTTCATTTTATTTGAGAAGTCTCAACAGCATCCAGCTTTCTCACTTTATGTCTGCCAATAAGAGTTTTCATAATTTCTTGTGACAATGAATACTGATGATCTTTAATTTGCCAGACTGTGTAAGAGTGAAATGGATGTCAGTATTTCCAGGTGAACAAGTCATCTGGGATCCACACATGTGCACTGAGTGAGCCACATTTGATTGCCACCGAATAGCATTGTTCTGTGGAGTTCTGCTGAGTCGCTGGGGCCCTGCCAATGTTTAAATCATTCCCCAAACCCCATACTTGGAATGATGCAAGGATTCTCACATGCTCCTATGAACCACTCCTCGGTGACTACACTTGGACCATAAAATTCCTTTTGAAGTTTTTAAATGCAGAAACACTGATGAAGTGACATCACTTTGAAAGATCAGTTCATGTAGGACTGGGCATGCACACGGGGGAAAGAGCTGCTGGAGGAAATGGCCTCCTATTGATGGTGTGGACACAGAGAAGGTATGGTATTTGTATGGATGTCATGACAATTGGCTCTTTTCTTCCATCTGGTGCTGAGTGCTCATGCAACTGGTATGCATTAATAACGTATTTAAACAGACACAATGAAATTGAATCCAGCACAAAGCTATATGCAAGTGCTGATATAAATCCAAATATCTGATATTTTATTTGAACATCATTCAGAGGAAGTATTGTGTGAAAGTGAGTGGTTCATCACAAGTTCACAGACACTTAACTTCTTCCCACAAATTGAAAACATAAAGCAATGGATGAGTGAGCCAAGGTCTGCCAGCAACCCCATTATGTCGTTCAAACAGGGTAGGTGAACAACTGTTTGCAGTCACTATCGACTGAGCAATGTAAAATCCAGAAAATGTATTCATTCTACACAAATGTCTGAGAAGTTTAAGTGGGAGGCTGTGTCTATGACTTCGTCTGAGAAAGAAAATTAAAGTTTAAGGGCAAAATGAAGGAATGTAAAAGTAATGAAAAACACACATTACTTATACTATTTTATATTTTAAGTCTTTGAGAGAATCTTTTATTAAAGGTGCTGCTTGAGGTTACAGCATGAGGTTGCAATTTCTTACCCATTAGTCAGTTCCTCTTAGTGGAGCCTCAGGCAAGAAATGTTAATTATGAATATTAACAATGAATAATAATTTGACGAATTACTTAAAAATAATTCAATACACAAACAGGTGACGTGATGAGTGGTTTAATTGAAATTTTATTTAATACATTTTTTAAACTCTCCAAACTAAAATGAGGAAAAATTTTCATTTTATTGTAAAAGATCTGCATTTTATATTTATTTTATAATAAAGGAAATATAATTGTTTTTGAGACCAGAGGATACTATTAATTTGGTGATTCTACATAGAAGAAATGCCGCCTGACTTGCAAGCAGGCAGTCGTGAGTTAGATGCCCAGTACCGATAAAAAGGAAAAAGACAAAATAAATAAATAAATAAATAAATAAATAAATAAATAAAAGAAATTCTTACTAGTTCAACAAAACAAAGATATTAAAATATTATTTAGAGGGACTGATTTAATTATTTACATTACTATGCTGCAACTGGCACATGCAAGACTGGTTATTTTAAACACAAAATATGCAAATTTTGACAGATTACCTTACACTTTCTATGACTACACATTTTAACACATTATCAGTTAATTACAGTTTCACACATATTGTCTACCATTTGACTGATTGGCTAATAGTTTAAAAATATTTACACACAGTAAGTATCTGTGACATATCTTAGGGTCACTGGGTCAATCAGAACACTTGACCATAGGGTTTTGCAGTTGTAAGCACATTTGAAAAAATGAATGGGTAACTCTTTAAACACAGGTGGTGTGCTTTAGAAAGTAGGTTACTTTGTCACATATAAAGTCATGTTTTCCAGAGATATTTTCCTAAAAATTTCAATTAAAAAATGGAAGAAAGGGACCAGTCTCAAGTGTTCACTGACAGCAGCTTACGTACCAAGATTTGGGGTCTTGGTCTTTCAGAAAGCAGCCATTTATTTCCAGAACATTTCATAAGTGTAAATATAACAGAGAAGAGCATTTAGCAGTTATTCTTACAGGGAGTGGTGCATTTGCAAAACTAACTCTTTGATTTGTTCAAAAAAATTATGTAGAAGCAGACTATTTATTTATTGACTGTGTGTCACCATTTAATTCAGAAAATGCTTTGATATGCTTTGTTTGTGGAAAAGAAAATGCTCAACATTAGTATCTGTCAAATTACCAAGGCATTTCAATTTTCAGGAGAAAACCATTCATGCTGATTTAACTGTGTGTATTTAAGTTATTTATATCAGAAATTATCACTCATACACAATAAAATGTAAATGTTTATATATTTGTGAAATACAGCCAAATACAAGTAATACTTGATCTAACTCTATATCCCCAGACTTTTCTTCCTAATTATGTCTTGCCTAAACTGGGTTTCATAATGGCCAGCACTTTTTCCCTTCTGACAGGCCATAGTGATTCAGAGAAAGTCTGCAAACCTCACTTCTAACCCATGGAGATTAGGTTATAGTTTGCAAATGTAGAGGTGCATGAGCACAGCAATGCTTATTGCAATCCTGTTTCTGGGAAATAAATTTCAACGTATTAGAAAGTTTTAATTAAAGTTAAAGTTTAATTAAAATTAAAGTATTCAATATACTTTAATTAAATAGTGACAAATATTTTTCTCATATTACCATAAAACCTATATATCATTTACAGAAAATTTCAGTTTACCATTCAGGCATTTTGCACAGGAAGAGAACACATCAAATCATATAATTTTAGCCTAAGCATCAGCAAAAGGCTTTTGAAGGGCATATTTAGCTCTGAGAAGAAGCTGCTCTGATCACAGGGCAGCAAATCTCACTCTCAGTATTTTTGAGAGATTTGGAGTAGAAGAATGAATTTTGCATAGCGTGCCACAGTAGCGTGTCCTCTGAAGATGCAGGAGAATGGCAAGTGTTAGAGCAGTATTTCTGATAGTGAGAATGAGATATAGAGTAGTTTTCATAATATGAATAACTTCTCTCATCATTCATAGCATCTCACCTAACCCTAACTTGCTGCTTACAGTAGAAGAGCAAGACACACTCATGTGCACACATACATACACACACACACACACACACATACACGCACAGGTCGGGGAGAGAGAGAGAGCAGCAGCATTTATGACAATCATAGTGGGAGATTAACACTCTTGTGAAAATCTGGAGTTCAAATGAGATGAGCTACAATTTTAACACTGGGAGCTGTAATTTTTTCCTATTAAAATTAAAATATAGAATTTTTTCTCAATCATATCGAGTAATGCCTTTGTAATAACAAAAAATTACAACCTTTGCACCCAATGCTAGGGAAGAAAAAAAATAGAGATTTCTAGAATGTTTTAATGATATTGCAATTTATTTAATGTTAAAAAATGCACGTAACAGATTTGTGTCAAAACTTTACAAAACTTTGGAAGACACAGATTGCATAAATTTCAAAGAAAGAGAAAATCACCTACGTAACAAATATTAAAGTGAAAATTTGTTCAGGTTAAAAGAGTGAATCACTCAGACTAACAGAGAATCATTCTAAAATATCAGAATAGTCAGGCACCAAACACCTGCAAGCCAGGGTTAGGAGTTTAATAGTTAAGAAGGAATTTTCCACATTGTGATTCTGCATGGGTTCAGACCTTCTGCCTTTTCTTCTGAGGTACCAGTGGCATCTTACAAAGATGTCCAACTCCACCTCGATGATGGACTTTCTGCTCATGGAGTTCTCTGACCTGCGGGATCGACAGGTTTCCTATGCCATGTTCTTCTCTCTGATTTATCTGGTCACTGTAATGGGAAACCTCATCATTGCTGTGGTCATCACCCTTGACCAGAGCCTTCACACACCCATGTACTTCTTTCTCAGAAACCTGTCCATGCTGGACTCATGCTACATTTCTGTCACAGTCCCCAACTCCTGCATTAACTCCCTGCTGGGCAGCAGCTCCATTTCCAAAGCAGGATGTGCGACTCAGGTCTTCTTTGTGCTTTTCTGTGCATATGTGGAGCTGCTGTTTCTCACCATCATGGCTCATGACCGCTTTGCAGCCATCTACAAACCCCTACATTACACTTCAATAATGAATCCTCGCCTGTGTGTCCACTCCACACTGGCCTCTCTGCTCAGTGGCCTGGTCTATGCAGCCCTTCACACCAGCAACACCTTCCGGCTGTCCTTCTGCCACTCGCATGTTGTCCAGCAGCTCTTCTGTGATATCCCTTCTCTGCTGAAGCTGTCTTGCTCTGACACCTTCAGCAACTGGATCACCATCCTTGTCTCTATTCTGGTGTTTGTTGTTGGCTGTTTCATTTTCATCATCAAGTCTTACATTCACATCTTTTCTGCTGTGCTCAGGTTACCAGCGGGAGCAGACAGGACAAAGGCCTTTTCCACTTGTGTGCCACACATCCTCGTAGTGGGGGTCTTCGTCATCTCAGGCTCTTATGTTTACCTGCGCCGCTCTGCAATGTCTGCCAGCACCTGGGACATGGTCCTGTCTATATTCTATTCTGTAATTCCTCCCATCTTCAACCCTATTATCTACAGCCTCAAAAACACACAGATACAATGTGCTCTTAGGAAACTCGTGACAAGAATGCTCTTCTCAGGAAATGTGCTCAGAATCCCTACCCAGCTTAGTCATAGTCATGTTGTGGGCAATCAGTGCAGATAAGTGATTAAAGTTATTCCAGATCCATCTGTGTGAATTTAACACCAGGCTTTTAAAGAGGCCATATGTCAAAATCACTTCTTTCTGAAGCAATTGAATAAACTTCATATGTAATAGGTAAAACACCTGACTGAAGCAGAAGTCCAAATTGTGTGATTTATGAGTTAAATGTCCTCCAAAAGTCTCCTGTCATCAGATGTGTGGCTTTCGGGAAGTGAGAAGATCATAACAACACTGCAATCACTAGGGTTAAAAATATTCAGAAGTATTTTTTTGCTCTGACAATTTCAGCAAGTGGATCGCCATTCTTATCTCTAGTCAGGTGCTTGGTGGTGACTGTTTCATTTTTATTAACAAGTCTTAGATTCACATCTTGTGTACTGTGTGCATGTTTCTTTAAGGGACAGATAGAGAAAAAGTCTTTTGTACTCGTGTCCAACAGGTGTCAAATGTGAAGCGTGTTTGTAGGGCATTCACAGAACATATGGAAGGTGCCATCCCTCAATGAAGTACAAAGTTAAGGAGAGAAAAGTGAGCAGCATGGTATATCATACAGTAAAACATCTAAAATTCACATTGTAATATGTTATAAAGAAAAATAGTCAATATGTTATGGAAAAATTTTGTCCTGTATTTTGATTTAGTTACTCATTCTTTTGACAAAATTGTATGAAATTATTGTGTACAGCATATTGTAAAAAATGTGCATATATCTCAATGAAGATGTCACTGTGAAAAATTGGTAATGGAGCTAATAAACTTGAGCAAAGGAACAGACAGTAGTGCTTCACAGGGCACCGAGGAGAGGCCAAGATTGCTGTTTTAGACAAAGAGTTTTCAAAGCCTCCTGTCTGTGTGTTCCCTTAAGGCCTGCACACTCCCAGGGAACCTGGACACCAGATATGAGGGTGTCCTCACCTCTGCCCTCTCCTCAAAGATGTGAGCTCCTAGGAAACCTCACCATGCAACCAAGTAGGTTTTGTCACTTTGTCTCAGATTCTCACTCTTTTATATGGCTATTCATTAAAAAAACAGAACACAAATAATTTAAAACATAAAGCAAATTATTACATTAGTGTTTTATTATAATCCTTACCATAATTTTGATTTACTGCATCAAACTGAGTGAGCCATTCAGCTCACAATTTGCTCCATGAAATAATTATGCTCCATAAAACACCATATACTGTAGCTTTGCATTTGTCAGGGTACTAAATGCCAGGCTGTTTTTATGTTGAAATACATGATGCATTATGGGGCATAATTGATGATGTAGATTATTTTTGACTGTTGAAAACTATAAAATGTTTCAAGCCTCAGAAAATATTTCATTAAAACACATGTATTAATTTTCAACTTTCTAAGACAAAATAGCCAAAGCCTAAAAGTTAAGGGAGTAGAAGTTTAGTTAGCTCTCAACTGTAGAATTTACAGTCCATAAACTACTGGATCCAAGGCAGTGTGACATGTATACAGGCATCACAGAGAAGAAACTATATGGTGGGCAAAGATAGCAAAGCAACCCAGGACAACCACACATCTGTCTGTTCCTTATGTCTTCTCCAGACCACTTAGTGCAGGTGGCCCTCACACCCTGAATCCCAATATCGTTGATACTAGCATTTCACTAGGAATAAATAATAGCATCACACACTAGACCCAGCCACCTCTGAAGAAGCTCCATCTATGCTTGCATGAGTCCTTGGGGGGACATCTAAAACCAAGCCATAACATTCCACTTTCGACCCTCAAAGACTCATGCAAATACCTTCACGGAAAGGAGTTTAGTCCATCTTAAAAAGTAATGCCAAAGTCCTCACAATTTCAACATTGCTGAAAAGTTCAACTCCAAAGTCTACTCTGCTATTTAAGATAATTCTTAACTGAAGTCCATGTACAAATGAAAAGAAAGTTAAACAATTCCAACATTAAATGTAACAAGATAAACATTATAATTCTAAAAGGTAGAAGTAGGGGCATACAATGGAATGGGAACAAAGGAAACCCCAAATTCATAAGTCAAAATTTAAGTCATATAATTCTATGTACAGCATCTGAGGCAATCTGCAGAAAGATATGAACTCCAAAGGGATTGGGTAGCTTCAGCCCTATAGCACTTCTGCTAGCTGTTGCTCCCATGTATTCTCTCTTGATTCTTCCTTAGTTCCTTCTTGAAATTTTCAGATAACCCATGTTCTGGGCTTCTCCGAACTTCTAGGGTTTTCACTGCACAATTGGCTTCACCCACACACATTGCACTCTCAGATGGACACTGCCTGGCCTCCCAGATCTTCTGAAATCTAAGTGAAAGCTTCTCTAACACCACAACTTTTGTATTCTGAATGTGCCTAAAATCAGTACCATGTGTATTATGCTAAGGTTGGCTGACAGCTGGATCAAGAGCCAGGCTTCTGTCTCTATTGGCTGTAGGGTTCCAGTACCTGGATTTCTCAACACTTTGAATCTAATTCTGAGAAACAAATTCTCCAGGATGCCACCATTCTGGAATGTGGTGTACTGTTGCTTTCTTCTCAAAGCAGTGTCTTTCACTTTTGCAATTTTGAGGCTGTAAAGTGTGGGTTCCTGTTGCTTCTTATGATTCCCTCAGGATATCTTGTCTATATTGCTGTCCTTTCTCATGAATTAAGATCTATTCTAATGCATCTTCACAGTCCACAGCTTTAGTGGAGCTTTCTTTTTTGCAAAAGTCACATTTTAAATCATTCTGCTAGGCATTTTACTTTTGATTAAAACCCCCAGCAGTAGCCATGGCACAGCTTCAACTTTCAAGTGCCTTGAAATTTCTTCTGCCAGATTAAGTAGCCACCACTCTCAATCTTAGCCCCAGGCAGTCTCTGGATGAGCATAATGCAGACAAACTTTCTTCCAAGTTATAACATGCATTGTCGGGGTTGAAAAACCAAAGCAGTCCATTTTCCCAGGAGAACCTCATGATGTCTTTCCTGAGAGGATTTCTATCTTCCTTCTGGTCTTCTGAGTCCTGACCAGAAATCAAAACAGCGTATTCCAGCCCTACTTTTTCAGTCAGCATCTTTGAACCTTTCTAAACTCTTCCTTGAGCTATTCCCAAAGGCTCCTGAATGAAATGGTCAGGTGCAGACACAGCAATGACTCCACTTCTCTGGTACCACATTCTGTGTTGGTTAATTTTCCCATTGCTGAAACAAAATACAAGACACCCAAAATTAAATGGAAAATGTTTATGTAGCTCACAGTTTGCAGAGATTTTGGTCTATAGTCTGCAAGCTCCAAGGCACTGTGTCATGGCAGAGGGGCAACAGTTCATGATTTAATGCCAGTAGAAGATACCAAAAGCAACATGAGAATAGGAAAAGAGATACACACACACACACACACACACACACACACACACACAGAGAGAGAGAGAGAGAGAGAGAGAGAGAGAGAGAGAGAGAGAGATTTTCCTGTCTATCATTTTCATATGCAGGCTATCTGCTCTATGGTACGTGTAGTGCTATAACATTCTCGATCCCAGCACTAGACTGTGAAACAGTCACAAACTCGAGAAGACCATCCCCATGACTTCATAAGACCTTGGGGGGAATTATACAGACAAACCATAAACAAACAAACAAAAAAATAAGAAATGCAAGACATATTAAAAATAATGCTATTGATTTATAACTATTTAATGGTGTATTGGAATTACTAAGGAAATGGGTGCAATACTGAAGATAGGGAACACTCAGTTTGACAGAAATAACTGAAAGGTCACTGGATACAGATGGTTGGAGAAGCCCTGGTAATGGAAGAGTTCACCAAGACAATGTGAACTGATAGGCGTAAGAGGACTGGCCTGAGGTTGTGAACTTTAACAACAACTGGTGTGAGAGGAGGATTCATTAGGACAATTGCCTGTGGTGAATTAGCAGGAGAAAAGAATGAAAGGGAAATGATTTACCAAGGACCAATGTATGAAGTGTTTCAGGGAAACAAAAGAATTATCAGTGAGTGAAATCTGAAAAAATGGTGATAAAGAGTAAAAGTTCACTTTTTTACTAGTGTTAATAAATTTGAATTTTTAGAGATGCTGTTTACAGCTTGCCTTACACATTGGAGAAAACATTCTACACAGTTTTAGGCAGATGACCTCTAAGTCATTTTGTGTAAAGAGACTGTGGTGACTGCAGGAAAATTTCTTGGAGGAGGAAAAAATAAATTTATGTTCTTCTGCCATCTGTTCTGCATATGGCACTGTTTAGGGATCCGGAAGTGACAGCACAAGTTGTCAAGGACCACTATTTGGCCACGATGACACAGCATGTGCTGCTCATCTTTTAACACTTTTAAGTAAGGCTCACATGTGTAAATATTGTGTTGTCTCTCTGGTATAAAAAAGCAAAAGAGTAATAAAATTCAAAAGATACAACGGATAATGTGAAAATTAGAGGGAAATAAAGTGGGTGAAAGGAAAGAGTAACTCAGATGGGGAAAGGAGAAAACAACTTACGCTACTCTTACTCATGTTCCTGTGTTGCTTCTGGACTACTTTCTGTAAGGTTAACATTCAAATATACATGGGCTAGTACTTCCAAAATTTTCTGTGCAATACTGTAGTAAAGAAATAAAAGCAATAAAAATAGGTACTTCCCCCAAAAAGGAGAAAGTAAACATTTACTTTCATAAAATGTTGTGATATTTTAAAATTTCATATTCAATTGCATTGTGTTGATATCAGTAACCCAAAACATTACTTTAGACGAGTTTCCACTTTTTATAAAAATTTGTCCAAATTGGAGGAAACGCAGTCATGTGAGGTGTCGTTAGTCAGAGCAGAGAGTGCCAAAACCAAGGGAGGCAAGCAATTTGCCTAATTCTTGTTTCTAAGTGCACAACTCAGAGATCTGACTGCTCTCTACATGCACTCAAGGCATCGTGAGTACAGAGAATGGCTTATATCTCTGTAGCTCCCAAAACTCACAGCCCAATATTCTGAAATACATGATGGGCTTGTGTCTGTC